GCATGCACGTGTATCTTGTACTTTGTGCCAAATCGCCACGCTTCCATTTGCATAACACTTGCACATTAATTAAGGCTACCGGCGCACAGCTATAACCTCCATTATTTCCCCACTGCTATCTTTTTACCAGCGCACATTTGTGGCAAAAAAAAAAGAGAAAATACTTCAACCTACCACTTCAGGCAATTCTGTCACCATTCAATGCTTTTCATTTTTACATATTTTCATTTCTTTTTTGTTTGCCGTAACGACAGCCTTTGGCAACCGATTTTTTTCGGTAATGGCTGCTTTTTGTCTCTTTATGCGTTTTCAATGCGATTACTTTGCTGCTCTCAAACCCACTTACCACTCGCCACTTGTGCCCTGCAATTGTAAAGCTTTAAATAACGCTTTTCCATTGTTGTTGTTTTTGTTGTTGCAACCCTTAAAAAGCGCGCGAGCAGCCCATTCATTTGAATGCACTCAAGTGTCCACTTCAAGTGTTTGTGATGTGGCAACACAATCGAGTAAAAAACCCAAATGAGTTGAATTGCACTTGCAACAGCTGCATTGCAATAAGCAGTCGTGCAATTGCATATACATAGCACATACATATGTACGTGCATAAAAAAAATATTGCATTAAAATATTGAAATTTACAAGCATACACACACATATGTATGTATATAAAGGCAGCCGCTTTCACCAAACTGTGCCTCTAGTTGGCAAATTATTGCACAAAAAAAAACATGTTAAGTGTTGTAAGTGCGAATATTTATTCCACTTTATTTCGTGGCAAACTGCACAAAAAGGCCAGCTGAAAATCTGCGCAAATACTTGCACAAACAGCTAATAAGTATGCAACAAAAAACTTGTTGCCAATTACAAAAACCGTCACTTTAATGCAAACGTTTACAGTTATGCGATGCAAGCTGGCATGTCCGTTCGTTTGCCTATGAAACTATGTATGCGTGCATGTACGTACTACATTATGCAGCACATTTCCGCTTGCCACACATACTCGACCGCTTTGTGTGCCACTTTTCTTCCCTTTGCACTTATGTAAAGAAATAATTTTGCTCTTTCTAGCCTTTGGCGTGCTGTGCTCCTTCACAGCCATTTAAGTTTGCATGCACTGAGAATGTATAGTACACACACAGAGTTGCGCTTACTTAATGTGACCAACTATTTTATAGCTCAAAGAAGTACAGAAACTGAAAACCAAAAATAATATGAAAGTAATGAGAAAATGGTAAAAGCAGAATATACAAAAAACGGTAACAGTGTACAAATTCAACAAATAAAATTTATTAATTAAAAATCTATACTATTTATTATTCTAAGACAAGGCGCCTATTCCCAGCGATCTACTAATCGTACAGAGACGAACATTTCAGATTTAAAAATCATTAGACCACTTCTTAAATATTTTCATGGAAAAATGTTTAAAGTTTTACATTGAAAAAAAATATTGCTACGTCCATTCCAATAGGCAGCAACTGCGGAGCGCTCTAAATATGGAGTACAAAGAGGACGCTCACAGCAACACCTTGAAAAAGCGTTGTCGGAGCACTCCGAATATGGAGTGAACTCCCACGTTAACACCTCGAATGACTGTTTTCGGAGCGCTCCGAATATGGAGTGAGAAACACGAAACATTTTGAGTTTAGTGCTTGGTTCGTTTTTTTTTAAGTTTGAAAACACCAAATCTGTAAATCTTAAAAAAAAAATCTAAGCTAAATCAATAGCAATCGTAAATATTTGATCAACTTTAGAAAAATGGAAAAAATCATGGCACAATGACAATCGTAAGTGAGCACATGTTTGCAACAAATTTTTGACACAGACAGATTTTTCCCACTGTGCGCTGAAATAAGGCACATTAAAAAGGGAAATGAAATTTCGTTATGATTCAGGTGTCAAGCAGTCGGAAAGAAAAGTTCTTTATGGTCCTTTAGTTTACGAGATCACAAGAGACTGCAGTGTAGATTTATACTACCACATAGTTCATGAAGCTTAATTTTTTGTTTTTGATTTCGTTTGACAGGAATTGTAGAAAAAATTATGCAGAACAAAGAAAAATTTAACATATTAACAGTCAGGAAAAAATTTAAAAATTTTTCATGGATCTAAGCGAAGCGGCAACGCGTCCAGCGCAAATTAGAAAATAAGAACAAGAGTTTTAACTTCGCTTGGACGTAAATATTTGTATTTTTATAAAACAGAAAAAATTCGACCGTTGAGCAAAAAACATTGATTTTTATTAATTTAAATCAACATCCATACAAAAACTATTTTTATACATATACAGCCCATTAAATACTCAGATAAATGTTTTGGGCCTTTTTTTTGAGAAAAACTCGTCTTTTCTTGGGATTTATGCTTTTTCAAGTTCAACACTTGGCAACACTGGTTATTTTGTTTACCTTTTTCTTTTTATTTAGTCTGTAAATTGAAAAAGAAATTTTCAGTCCAGAAGAAACTGTTTGTGGTTCCCGAATATTCCTGAAAGAAACACCGCAAAAACAAACTGTTGACTTTATGGCAGTTTTAAATGCATTTGGAGGTGAACAATAATGCCTAATTACTTTTGTCTAACTTTAGAACTTTTCACATGTATTTAATAGAAAATATGCTAGATCTGGTCAAAAATTCCATAGATCGGGGCAAACCTAAAAGGAACGTAATGATAATATTTTTAAACTTTTCGGTCTATTATCAGACTCCGCTGGTGTGCTGGGAACAATATTTTTGAACAATTTAATTTTTTTTATTCAGTTTTACATATCGACTACTAAGTGGAAGATCGACCTATCTCGGCAGCCGGTTCGAAAACGCCCTATCCCAAAAACCCTTTCAGGAACGCCATATTTCAGAATTGTATTGAAAAAACACGCTATCTCAGAAGTACGAAACACAACGACTCAAAAAAAAGTACTGTACTTCCGAAAGAGGTACGGTTGGTCACATTACGCATACTATATGCCTACTCCACATACTTATATATGCACATATGTATCACACAGGACTCAGCCATTTATGCTCTGCGACCAGCACTAACTCATATCGAATATTTGCATTTTAAAGTCGAGTACATTAGGTGCAGACAATCGGTGTGTTTGACGCACTGCTGACTTGGCAATTTTGTTCTTCCCATTGACTCCTAATATTTACATACTTTACATGGTGGCATAAGGGTTTTCAGCAACCTGCCATAAATTTGGCACTTTTCTTTTTAGGTTTTTTTTTGTGTTGCAGTTTCTGGATATTACTTAGTAAATTTCATGCGCAATCGAGTTTTGCTGATCCAAGTGATTTTCGCAAAAACAAAAAGTCAACGAAAATTAGCATTTTGCTTTTCAAGTTGAACTGAAGCAGAGGAAGGGCTTTATGTCTTATATGCAGAGTGAGTTTAGGCATCCAAAATTGGAAGGGAAAATTGACAAGTTAACTTAAAAGCAGCAATTTGTTTTACCTTTATCCCTTTTTTTTTTAGTACACTGGCTTTTATTGAGCGCTAGGCTTTATTAAATGTGTGGATTTTTCTTGCCGTATATGCAAGTGCAGGTAATCACTGGCAGAGAGACCATCGTCATATATGCATATAAGGAGTGCGCTGGCCAGGCAGAATAGATGAGCCAATATATGTATGGAACTGTGAAAAATAGGGTGGCTGATGAAAGGCGTTACTAAAAAAAATAAATTAAAAGCTTTTTTCGGTATAATTAATCTGTTCCATTTTTTTGTACTGGCTGCCAAGTTTTGCCATTTTAATACACCAGCCGAGTCGAAATTTTAAGCAATGCCATGTAGTGTAGGCATTCGCAATGAGGTTGATTATAGGTATATGTACATATGTATATTACTAAAAATCAACGCTAACTTGCAGTTTATTACACTAAAATTTAATGAACTCAAACACTGCATACCAAAATTTTTTTAAAAATCTAAAAAAAGTTTAGTTTGATGAAATTGGGAACAGTAGAATCGATTTTCTTCAAGATTGCTATTTCTGCAGTTAGCACTAAAAAAATTTAATGGAATCAAACAAAAATTCAAAAATCGCCCTCAACTGGTCACTTGAAAATTTTATAAGCTTTTATGAAAAAATAATTATCAAATTGAGTAAAAAATGAAGGCCCAAGTGAATTATGAACACTTAAATATGAACCACTTTGCGACGGTTATGTGACTCTAATTGTAATTTGATATCAGAATTGTACTCTATTTTTGTAAGAATAGGCACAATACTGGGCCAATAACGATATACATACATACACTGCGGCAAAAAGTATTGGAACAGCTGATTTTTTACAATATATGCAACAATTTTTATTGTAATAATTTTCCGACAATTTTTTATAAAAATATGGTTAATTCCACAACAAAAAAACACAAAAATGTAATTTATAAACTTTGTGCAAAACTCGCGAAAATTTAGCAAATTTTCATGCAAATTTTCAACTTTATAATCCGAATTTTTTGAGTATGCAAATTGGTAGCCTATCAAATTCTAGTATAAAAAGTGCAAGTCCGAAGTTAGTCAAAAATCGCGTTGATTTTTGAGAATTTTTTTTTGTTGAAGGTGTTTTGCATGTTTTCCATATAACGTATTTTCGAAAATTTTTTTTTGTATGGAAGAGACTGTGGAAAAAAAACTTTCCAAAAATCAACGGTAATTCGTTGCCACTTAGAGCTTCTACTTTATTAAAATAAAATTGATTGAGATACAAATACACTAAATTCTAAAAATTCTAAAAAAACTGACTTAAAAAGTTGAAAATTTGCATGGAAAGTTGTTTTATTGTGGAATGAACCATATTTTTGTAAATAAATTTCGGAAAAATATTACAACAAAATTTTTTTATAATTGTAAAAAAGCATCTGTGCCAATACTTTTTGCCGGCAGTGTACATTTTCATATTTATGTCACTATTTTGTTTAGCTGGTTGCCTGTAAAATTTCGACATTAAGAAATTAATGAAAACTCAATATTTCCTTTCATTTTTTTTTATTTTCAGGAATGCCAATTTCAATTCAAGAATCGCCGCTGGAACTGCAGCACTACAGACGATAACACCGTATTTGGTCCGATAACAGGACTGGGTAAGTAATTACATACACACAAACATATTTAAAAATATACCTTAAGTAGCTTCTCATAAATCAAGTGAGTGCAATAAATAGCCTAAGGCAATCTATCTTCTTCAAAAATCAAATCTCACCTGCCGTTAGCCATTTTGTGCGCCTTTAACCCGAGAGCCAACAATTTATCAAATTAAATTATTATGATCAACTCATCAAAAGGCAAAATAGCCAAATTACTCTAATCAATTTTAATTTCATTAACCAAAAGTTTCGCATGTACCTTGCGTGTATATATATGTTGTATGTCTATTTATATGTTTGTATGTGTATGCAAGCTACTTTATTCCAGTACGCATTTGTACCCGCTTTTAGTTGGCTTCCAAGTTTGACTTAATTAAATGATGAATATTATTTCCTGTCTGCAAAGTTGCGCTAAAAACAACGAACAAGCTGCAGTACTTAGTAGCAGTAGCATTTACGAAACAAAACAACAACAATGACAATAGCAACAACAACAACATTCCCGTCAGTAATACAAAGCGGCGGCGGCAGCGGCTCAAATACAAAGTCTGAATTGTTTGCCCTTTTTCGGCTGCCAAAGACTATCCACCGGCTCGTCGCTGAAAGATCAGCCTTGTAAAATAAACTTCAAAAATACTGGCCGGTAGCAGTGAGCTTCGTTTATCTAACGACATAATCTGCGTGGAGGGCGAACAAAAGTGGCTGATAGTCCCACAGAGTAGCATCATTGAGATGAAAGGATAATGAAATGGAGTTTGTATGAAGTAAAATTTGCAAAGCCAGCAAGCAGCACACAGAAAGTAGACTATATGACAGGCGGGTATTGTGCTCTGGCTGTTGGTTGTGGAAAATTGTCAAGAAAAGTCGAAGTTTTCACTGCACAGAAATGAGTGTATCAGTATGCGGCAGTGTTTGAAACTCGTATTACTCCTTGAAACGCACGCCGCTCACTTAATGACTTTGTTTGGATTTACGAGTGCCTACCTTTAACTTGTCGACGGTTGCTTGTTTTGGTTTATTGTTCTACCTTAATTGATTTGACGCTATTATGTTGTTGTTGTATGTATTTCATTTTGTTGTTGCTATTATTGTTTGTCTGCGGAACTGTCTAGTGGTAATACACGCCTGTTGGCTGTTTTCTACTAGCCACTTTAATAAATTAATTAAAAGTTTAGCTTTTAAAGATGCAGTTGACATTGTTGGTGCATTTTAAAGGAGAGTACCCATGTACACTAATACACGGTAATTTTAAAATGCTTGTCAAGGCTTGGACTGGAAACAACGATCGTAAAGTGCAAAATTTCATTTCGCTTCGGCAATGTCAGAGATTTAACATTTTTATAATTAAAATATGGAAATTCTTCTAAAATATTTAATTGGAGTGGTATTTTTGATTTCACTGAAGAGATTTGGAAAATGTTTTCCAAGTTCTAGTTAAATGGGTATTATAAGTATATTTATCTTTATGAGAATATACTACAATTAGTTTTTGTAATAACTATAGGAGCAATGAATTTGATTTATTTGCATAAGTCACTGACAGTAAAGGTGAGGGGACTTCGTTGAGCATTTAACTTAAGAAAATAAAAGGTTTTAGTGATAGAGGAAAGACAGTGAAGTACGATCTTCAATAATATCTAGCAACGCACAAATAAATTCAGGGTTTTAAAGATACTTCTGTTTTTCCCCTTCTAACACTATAGCCGCCAATGTGACTTTAATGGGGTTCAACTGGCGTCAAATTGCAATGAGAATTGTACCTGGTACCACTAGTAGGTTACTGCGTTAGCAACTTTCTGATCTGGATCGTCAGTCTGCATGACTAGCCAAGCCAACAGAGCTGTGTGTACATTAGGGCGGAGTATTTATATCGGAGCAAAAATTTCGAAGAAAGTGTATAGCAAATTCAAATTCTACGATTAATTCTAAGCAATCATGGCGAACGAACCACATACATACCAAAAATTAAAAAAAAAAACTGTATATTGTAAGTTTTTTAGTCGAAATTTATTTTTCATTGTACCATAAATTTTGTACGTAATAAACAAGCATAACGAACTAGTTTAGTAGTTTCTTAAATATGAAGAAAACACACACTTTTGTAAATTAAAAATTAATTTCGTTCAGAAAAAAATTATAACATACAGATTTTTCTTTTAAAAATTGAGAGGATCAAATGTTATTTTTGGTATATAGTTTGTTTTTGCTTAGAATCGAACGTAAAATTCGAATATACCATACACTTTTTTTCGAAATTACTCCGCGCTGACAGCACTTCTAGCCCTTCGCACTCCTGTTTCTCTTTAAAATAGACCTTCCTACCCCTCTTCTCCCGTTATCCCCCAATTGTTGCATGCGTAGCTGTTGTCTACGTTATACCTTTGTATGACGCATTTTTCTCTGCAATAGTAGCACAGTACTTTTCGTCCAGCTTATAAGCTATGTTTGCGTGGTTGGTAGCAGGTAACCACCTCTTCTTGGGAGACGGAATCCCACTGCTCAATCATATATAGTATACCGGCTTTGAAAGATGGCTTGTTTAAGCAAAATTATGAGTCAAGTTCAAAATTACACAGGTGATCGTAGGCTCTTTAATAACTTTTTCGTTCTTTAATATTTTGAATGTTTCTTGGGCCGTGCTTGATACTAATAACATCCATGTCCGTGCCGCGGAGAAGTCGATAGCCTATCTTCTTTATCGGTAGTATTGAAGCGAAGTTTGGATTTTTCGATTTGAGCAGTGCGTGCCTGTCTCCGTTTCTTCCAGGCGCTAATAAAAGCAACTTTTTGCTTTCAGCGCAGTACTCCCCTCACTTATGTCACCTTTTTGCCCGCTTGAAAATCTCTCTGACAAACTTGTGCTTTACATTCACTTTCCTGCTCCACCAGGGAACTGCACCGTTCTTAAAATTAGAACCCTAGTTAAAGGATTCCATACACTTTTGGGCAGATTCACTGGCAAATCCATTTCATCGATTGACTTTATGGAAGTTAACAGTAATTCTGCTTTTGAATTAGCCAGACATTTGAAAAGATCCGAATTTTTGTGTTTTTTACGGGAAAGTTTATTTGCGGATCTCTGATTGCAAAACCTTTATTATTTTGCAAAAGAAGGTTCTAACTCCGTTTACTGATGCTATCTCAAAGAACATGAGGAACAAAAATTAGGCATTCCAAACTTAAAGTTAGCACCCTAGTAAGTAATTATTAGACTGCGGATGTTTATGCAGAAAACGGTGCCTAAAAATATGTACAACTTAACTAAAAACAAATTTATACAAATTTATACACTATGCTTATAGGTATGTGATACATATTTCTAGGCTTAGTTTCCTGCATAAAAATCCACAGTCTAGTAATTATGTATATGATTTGTTGAACTCCTTTTGTCATTTAGATTGTAAAGCAAAAACAAAACATCCAACAGCTTTCAGTTTATTTATCTAAAGTTTTATATTTAACAAGAAGTAAACACCAAAAGGCACCATTTTCAAAACCCATTCGTCCAAAACCAATAAAAACGTTTTTAACTAAGTCTAAGTATTGTAAATTGCCTTCATACTTAAATAAAAGGAATTTATGTGAAACTCAAAAGACAAGCAGAAGAACAAGTGGTCGACCGAGCAATGTTTAAAGTCCTTTTAACGCTTGTGTTAACTTGCCACACAATATACATAAGTATTGGGTCATATGAAAAGTGGCTGCGGATTTTTGTCGCTATGTTGTATTGGTAGCCATACATCTGGCAATACTAATCCAATTGCATTAAATTGACGCGCGTTTGAAAGGTGAGATTTTAGACTACATTTTTAGTGAATTTTTGTCATCCCTTTTCAGGTTTTGCTTGAAGACAAACCAGTTTTGGCGTTGTGCCGAACGCAAAATTACACCGAAGATGGCGATCGTAAAATCGAAAAATTGATTGTTTGTAATTTGAACGTGTGCGGAATATTTGCAAAGGCGATTTATTCAATAAAACCGAATTAAACCGAAATTTCCCTATAAAATGAATTCTATGCCATCAGCAGGCCACTAAATTTAACAAATTTAATATTAAGAATTTTAATGAGAGCAAAGCTCTCGCATAGACTCTTCACGGAATAAAGTCAAAAATACATTTTGCGAATATTCATTTTAAATAGGTCTATATAAAATACTTAAACCTTAAGCTAAGTGTACACTATATAGGAATCTCGCTAGAGTTTTGCTGAAATAAAAATCTCCTCTCTCAATTAATTTTAAACAGTAGAGCAACTCTAGCAACTACAAACAAAATAGAGAAATCTCAAATTTTCTCTATAATGTACGCTACAGCCTGTGTACAGGGTAGACAATAGTTACCTCTCGTCTAGAGTTAGTTTTATATCTCGAATTGTTGTCAATGCTTGTTGTATACCAGAGCCACGATGTAGAAAATAAAGGTAGCCCCAATCCGCGGATCGCAACATTTCAAGATTTGACAGCATTCACCTATTCGCTAATGTCATAAAATACTTTTTAAATTTTGAAATTGTATTTATTTGCCCAAAAAATTGTCCTTAAAAATTAAATATGTATCTTTTGATAGTGGGTGGCAACCTCCCACTTCGGTACCATGTCTTTTTTTGGGCTCACATCAAACAATCTTTTTTCTTAAAAATTCCCTTGAAAGGAATTTCTCCCAGCAGTTCCAGCCAAAACATATAAGTATTCACCAAATTGAGCAAGTAGCCTGGCACTCTGGCAACAGAGGTTGGTCTAAAAAGTCTAAAAAGAGTAAAGTCGGAATTTATTGCTCCCACGCCCTAGGATTGTCCTACGTCAAAAAAATGTACCCCTACTTGCTTAGTTTGAAAGCAAAAAATAAAAAAAATATTTAGAGGTCGCTCTAAGCTTAAAGTTTTCCATGTATATTAAATGGAAATAAAAAACTTTTCGAAGAAATAGTATGGAATACTTGGAAATCAATATTTTTCGATTGGAAGACTCTGGTTAAACCACAGAATTTAAAGTACACC